ACTCAAAATATTTGCCACAATTTTTTATAGCTGGCGCGGGATAATCTGATTCCTGCCCTATTCAGCGGTACGAATGGCGGACCAGTACTGCAGAGGGGCTCGGAAAAAGGAAGACGTAATGTCATTAACTCGCTTGCGGCAGATCTCGGCAGATGATGCAAAACTTGTGGGACAGGGTTGCTCGTACCGCACCACGCGCATTGGCCTGAGCCGGGCCGGCGTCTCTTCCTCCCGTCACTCGCCGATTCAGATAATATACCGTTTGGGTGTTTACCACCAACGGTTTTCCTGTCATAAACAGCGAAGAGGCAAGATTTTTTTAAATTGAGTCACGGTAAAAACCAGCAAAAAGACATTACTTCCGGTACCGCACTTATGGCCGCCTTTGATTAAAGCGACTGTTCCACATTTCTATCGGATTTTGAACTGAAACAGCCATCTTGAAGATCGCTCGGTGCATTTTACAACCAGCCCTTCTTAAGACCTAAGCCTCCCTAGTTTCTAAGCTACATGCCCGCAAAGATGTTCAGGCCATTTCGTGTGGACTATTTCAAGGCCACCCCGACTTTCATGACGCCATATCATTCAAATCCTGCCAGTCCATTGGCCATGCGGTGATCAAGATCAAGAACAATATTGTTGTCGAACCGTTCATATCTGGCGTTCCTGAGCAGGATTTCCAAATACACTGGCTGCTAGTTGGCTCTAACTCAAATTGGTGCAAGATACAACGGGGCATTCAAACATTGACGCATTGAGAAGCATATTTTCTGAACACAAAAATTGTGTTGACTAGAGCAGCTTTTCCCACTTGAAAGCATACCAGTAGTTATAATTCAGATCATCTCATGATATCTGATGTTTGTTTCAACATCTTAAAATATAGAACGTTCGCTCTACATATGTACTCGTGTCCGTGCCAGTACCAGCAGTATAGCCAGAGGGCGCGTGAGTCGCATTCCGGGAGCCCGTAAAAACGTTACAGGGCAACGATATAACTTTTGGCCTCTTTGCTTAAGTTTAACATTGTCATCACATGTTGATTACTTATCGTTCTGTTCAGAACCGTCCTACGCAATGATCTATTCAGGACCGTCCTAACTTTGATCCTCAATCTCGCCAGTTACCGAAGAAGGTGGCTGTCATCTTGCATGATGTCAACTAGCATCACTTTTGCGACCCATTATTCTATAGCTCCATACATCACCGCTCAAAAAATTCGCGATGGTATGGTATATGGTACGAAGTTATACCAGAATGACGAATTACGGTGTAACATTATGGTATGGTGTTGATGGCTTAAATCCACCATTAAGTGTTAAGAACTGTGGTCAGACGAGATGGTACATTTATTGTTTCATTGGACAACGTTTTAGAATCGATTACACATGTCAGTGCTGAAACGCAATGCACAAAAGAAATGGATCACGATGAAACCAAGGCTACTAGAGAGATGAAAGCAGATTTATGGCACACAGTAACAAGCATACCAGTCTTATAAAAGTCGTTTGGGGTGAGTAATTATTAACATTGGTTAGTTTCGTCTTAAGTAGCTTTCTTTCCAGTCATAAATTAAGACACACAATGGTGCAGCATACAAGTTTAATTTTCCGTAAAAACGTGTGGGAAAACACCGTGCGAGCGAGCAAAAGCTAAGTGTATGTGGACCGTGGATTTTGGTATCGGTGAAATTCAAGGTTGCAGCAACTGTTTGTGTTCCAGACGAGATAAGTACCCGACATCATTTAGAAAATAAAGCAAGCCAAGTACCAAAAATAGACATGAATAATGATATTCTGGAGGCAAGAACATGATTGTTTGCTGTCACTAGCAGCGGGCGGAGGTTTTCTTCTCAATGGTGACAAATTCGCAGTGGGCTGGGCTCTGCCGCCATTAGGTAAACCCACACAAGTTGGTCCACAGCACATTGCTGAGATCTGTGCAAGCTATGAACCTCGCTAACGGGTTTAGTCTGAGCATATTATTGTGGTATAAGAGCACGAGCAGCAGCAGGAGCAGGCGCGCAACGCCAGCTGCGCGACTGCTCATGGATCTTATTCTCCCTCCCCCCCCCCCCCCGACTGTCAAAAAAGGTCTGCTGGTAAGTGGCCGGGCAGGGTCAACTTGGCACGTGCAGTAGTTTAGGAGCTCTGGCCGACTGAAGAATAACGGACAGCTAGCAACTGGTCAGACCCGTGCAGCCATGCGGAAGTGATTTACATACAGCACGAACAACTAGCGGGTGTCCTGTCCCGCAAATAAATTTCAGATGAAAATTTACCACATAAACTGGATCGAGTTGCTTCGGTTGGATCGGCAAAATTTGTCCGCAAACTCTTGGGAGAACGACTTATTGTTCCTCTTCGGTAAACATTTTACAACATTTTCAGGATTCTTCCTCAATAACAAGAAATAGGAAATCATGTTATGATTTCTAATTCCATAAATCATTTCTACATCACTAAAATATCTGTGACATCATAAATGTAAAACAATGCTACAAAATGTGAGTACCATAACATTATTTGTACTCCTAGTAATAACCAAAATTCAAAACAAGCAACATGGAGCGAGCGAACCTGGTGAAAAAGCAAACACGCGAACCAATCCAATCAAACAGGTTCAGATGACTGATAGTCGATGGGTCAATGGGTGCTTTGGGTTTTCTCACATCAAAAAGGTTGTTTTACGTATTAAACCACTACATCTTCAGGGTGGCATAACCGGAAGGTAAATCGTCTTATACCATACAGCCTTGTCAGTAAATAACATGAGAAATATAGGTCAACCATTCTCACCCAGCTCAGTAAGCAGCGAGCATACACCCACGTACGAATTTTTAAGCAAATCCTCTCCTTGAGGAAAGTGTGAATTTGCTAGAAATTAAAACGCACTTAGCGGGAGATATCTTTTTGACCACTGGTGAACCACACGTTCAGACGTTTCCATTTACAAACGGCACACACATGCACAGCCAACACTTCCCAGAACCCAGCCTAGGGCGGCGCTGAAATGCCAGCCGCTGCGACCAGACAAATAACCGTTTACCCACTCACAAAAATACACGCTATATGACGCGTCCGTCAGGCACAGCGCGAGCTGCTCGGTAAAGACATGCTGTTCAAAAGCAAACGATAAAGACATGTTGTTCAAAAGCAAACGGTAAAGACATGCTGTTCAAAAGCAAACGGTAAAGACATGCTGCTCAAAAGCAAACTACGTGCCAGAATGTGAATTGCGAAGCGTCTTTACCATGTACATCGAAATAAATTGGGTGCATTTTACTATGGCCATTATTATACTGCCTCTCGATAGCTCTGTTTACCTCACACTGAACTTGACACAGATCTCAATGCACTCAGTTTGAAACGACACTTGGCAAAAAACACTCAATTATTTCGAAGCGATAACCAAAAGGAATACCGGCCACAATCCTTGGTTCTTAACACCACGAAAATAAGAAGACCTCAGAAGATGCCAGAGGTTTTCCAAAATAAACCTTAGATTCACATCACACGCGATGGTTGAAGTGCCTTTAGCTTGGTTTGAACATTTTTTTGCGTGACATCTTGGGTCTTGAGAACCATATTTGACGCAGCTTGCCACGGGGGGGGGGGGGGGGGAACTTGTCGACGTCGTGGATAAGGTTGGCGACAAAAATGTTCACTTTCACGTGACGCTTGGTGCCAGAAATGCTTTTGACCGGTGGTGTTGGTGACGGGCACGCCAAAATATTACAGCGCGCATTCCGCAACCTTACATGAGCAATTGTAACACATTTTATCCCACAACACCAGTAAGCCTCGACGTAAATACCCTTTACCGTACCCTGCAGTCCCTTGGTGTCTTTCTTAAGATCCATCCCATCCCGCGACAAAAAATATCCCATCGTTTTCAATTGGTTGCTCACCTTGGTGACCGGCCGACGACAAATCAGTGTATTTGCTATAGTCCGGCCGGTCGGCCGATGCGCTGTTTTTACCAGCCTACTCCCAGTGTCCCAAACTAGACAGCGACAAATACCGTGAAAGATCTAGATAGTGGCAGGTAGCAATTAAATGGCAGGTGGCAATTTAGTGTCAGGTTGGGCTGAAAAAGACGAGACGGTTGACTCAAGAAGAGACACAATACTACGATGAGCGTTGTCCCAAAGCTTTTAAATTCGTAGGTGAAAATTAGCTTCGATTGAGCTAAATCACAATATGATTTCATGCAACGGACATATGTTTCGCAAACCGCGCGAAAAAGCTCCTTTCATTTTTGCACTCTTAAGAACCGCATCAGTTTCAGTAGGAGTGAAACTGACCCTACAACCCTTCTACTAAACGGACAAGAGATCCACATCAGTTTCAAGGCGGCTTAAACGGACCCTGCAGCTCCGCTTCCTCCCTCGACCATCGGCCTCAATCATAAAGTTAATAAAAAATTAAGCACCGCAAAATCAAAAGCACAGCTGTGCGTATGCTGCCCCTCTGTGGACTGCGATTCAAGTCAAGTTGCCACCTGTCGAGGGTTAACGAAACATCTTCGGCTAATCTACAAGAAGGCATTGTGTACCTTACAGTATACTAGCTCTGTCTTGCATCTTCTTTGTTGTACAGCAACATTTAGATCGAATATTCTATAGTGTCATCTTTCCAAACCCATGTACATGACCGAAATGCTTCGGCTCGCTTTAAAAACGAAGTTGTCACTGTGCAGAAACATAACTTGTAATTCTCCAAGCTAATATAGATTTCATCGCTAAAAAATCAGCAAAAATTGGATAGTTGCATTGTTGCACTCAGACAACTAAGTTGTGGCCTTATTGTGAGCCATCTCTCATGTGGATATCGGGAAGTTGTAAAACGGTGCTAAACATGTCTCTAATCACTCCTTTGAAATCGACATTTAGCAAAATCAAATGCAACTTATCTTCACTCCACAAAAGAGCAAACAACACAAGTCCGCATCCGCCAACACCGGATATGACTTCCGCAAACATTGCACTGTGAACTCACCATGCGTTGTCAGCGCCGCTGCCTTTCACCGCCCGGCGTCATGGGCACGACTGTGACGGTGCTGATCGAAATCCAACACCCGCGGAAAAAATGGTACTCCGCGCCGCGCCGCAGGCCCCGCCCCTGAACTCCTGCCGGCGTCGGCGGCGGCGCGCGAGCGTCGGCGGCGCGCGACCGCCCCACACTCCCGGGCCCGGCCGCCCCACCCCACGGCCGCCACGGCGCGCCCCGAGCCCGCCTATTGATTGGTCGCTGCCGGCCGGAGCTGCAAACACGGATAAAAATTCAATTTTACAGCGCCACCGTACGGTGAATAATTGAGGAATGCGCATGCGCGGCGCGCCGGCCCGACCCCACGAGTATTGGAAATGTCGATTTCTCGGCGGCCCGACGGCAGCGGCGGCGCAGGCGACGTCTCGTCAGCCGACGAACCCTTTACAAAAACAACGCCAATATTGAACGCTTGGACCGGGCCGGCCGCGCGGAGGGAAATAAATTGGTGCGGCCAGAGCCCCGCGGAAAATGGTCGGAGATGGGACAGAGCTGCGGCGCTGGAGATGGGAAGGACTGCTGCGCTAGAGATTGGAGATGGAGGCAGAGCTGTGGCAATGGAAGCGGGAACATTGCTGCAGTATTGGGGATGGAGTGAGAGCTGCGGCGTTGGAGGGTAAGCGAGGACTGCGATGTTGAAGGTGGAGCGAGGGCTTTGGCGTTGGGAATGGAGACACAGCTATGACGGGGAGATGGGAGCATATCGACGATGGAGATGGGATGGAGTGGCGGCGTTGGAGATAGGAAACGGAACTATGGTGCTGAATATAGGGACAGAGCCGTGACGTTGGGGACGGGGACAAGGCTGCGACGTTGGGAATGGAAACAAAGCCTTGGCGATGAGGATGGGACAGACCTCTTACACTGAAAGCGGGAACAGAGTGGTGACGTTGCAGACGGTGACAGGGCCGAAGCAGTGAAGATGGCAACTGAGCTCTTGCCATGAAGACACGGATAAAGCTGTGGTAGTGAAGAGCCGCCCGTCCTGTTAGCTCAGTTGGTTAGAACGGCTGTCGTACAATTTGGCTGCCCGTGGCGGGACGGGTTCGAGTTACTTCAGGCGCTCGCTATTTGCCCTTGTCTGGTGTAACCTGCGACCGGTGGCAGAAACCGCGCTAAAGGTCAGGTGACGTCAGAGGGCAGGACGGACCGTGTCGCACATTGCGGAATGTAAACGGAAAGTTTTCGCCGCAAAATTCCGTCACGAAGGCAGAATTTCACGATCGGATGGTAGGACGAGCGCTCACATGACACGCACCGCTTAGCGTAGGGGCTGATCCCAAAAATCTACTCGATGAAACGGCTTGGACGAAGTCTTAAAGAAGATGGCGGATACAGTTGTGACGATCAGGATGCCATCAGTGCTGTGACGATGATGACAGTGATGGACGCCATGGAGACACATGTCATGGTGATGAGCATTGAGACAGCTTACTGAGTTGTTGAAGACAGGACAGAGCTATGACGACGAAGACGGTTATGAAGACAGCCATGCTGACGGCCATGACGCTGAAGATGACCGCGGAGACGGGCTCAGAGTTGTGACGATGGAAACCGTGGCGGAGAAGTGGCGACGGAAGTGGTCACGGAAGTGGTGACGGAAATGGTGACGTAAGTGGTGACGGAAGTGTGACGTAAGTGGTGACGGAGGTAGTGACGGAAGTGATGACGGAAGTGATGACAGAAGTGGGACAAAGCTGCCCCGACGGAAGCCGAGAACGGAACGGGAGCATTTGCTATACGGTAATTCCCGTAGCAATCCAGGCGTTTTTGGCGCGTTACGAGCATTACCCGGCTTGGAAGAATGCTTTCAAAGGGCTCAGAATATAATCAAAAACGGTTTCACATGTGCCATTATTTGTTGATGTTCAAAACCCGCAACTTTATAAGATGTGTCAGAAAGAACAAAATATGAGACATGAAGCAGGCATATTTGACTGATGATTGTTTGGATCCATTGCGCATCCCATTCGCAACTTGTTCCTTTTCCAAGCCACGTGTACTTCCAACCAGGCATACTAAATGCGGAAAGTAGGGCCAGCTCCCGGCCACAGGCCAGTGCTAGACAGTGTCATACGGCTGTCGTGGCCTGAATAAGACATTGGCCGAGCTTCTGGGCGTTCCGAAGACATCAGACTGACTGTGTACACACGAGCGTGAGAAAAGACAGTCCTGCTCTCTCCCTACAATTATCGATAAGACTCGGATTGAGACGCCTCTGTCACACATGCATGCCGTTGATTTCAAACAAGGTTTTTTCTTCCCTAACCTTTGCAATGTTTCCTCACGATGTATCGCAACGCGGTGTTGCCCGAGGCCCTCTGATTGTAACATTTGGCTTGGCGTTGTGTTTTGTTACTTCGACAGATGATAGGCACCATAGTGGCCTCAGAGCGCTGGTGACGTCACAGTGCTCGGCGTTTATAACCTTGTCACGCGCTGCACAAGATGGACAATACTGGTTTTAGAAACTTAACGCAGATTCCCCATACAAGGAGCACAGATGCCGCTTTGCATTATACGAACGGGACCCTTTGACCTGCCCTAATTCCTAGCGCCGCATTCGTAAACGGCCCAATTTTTGTGCAGCTTGCGGGGATACAAAGGCCTTAGAATCGTAAAAAGGGCAGTGAAGTCGAGCATGGGAAATTGATTAAACCCCTCGTTTAATAACATCACACGTTCTCCGAATATGTGGAAAAAGCAGAATGGAACAATGGTTTGAACACGCGTCCGGCAACACTCTCACGCGCCACTAAATCAGGCTTTATTGTGCGGAGAGAAGCATTAAATTGTCGACTGATGTGCCCCTTTGAAGGCATTATTTGAACTCGGGACAGCATTGTGCCCGGGTTTTCATCTTTGGCAGCAGTGAGGGCAGCATGCGTTGTGTCTCAGATGTCACCGAGTGCCTCATAAATTTTAATGTTTCCCGATTTATAGAAGCGGCGCGTGCCATGCCGGGCCGGGGCGTGAAGCGGATAATTGGTGGCATTCATTGGTCTAGGAACCCAACGGAACTGCAGATTGTTAAGCCAGCTTCCTGCTTTCCAATGTCAAATTAGCAGTATGGCGGTGAGCAGCGGGAATAAAGTGGACCGAAAACTATTCAAAGAATGGTATCTGCCATCATCAAATGTTCTTGGTAGAGCAGAAATAGTTCGTGCACTGAAGTAAACTAACACTTGCATTTGACCATGTTGATAGTTCCAGAAGGCTGAATACTACGGAAACCGCGGGCGCTGCGTGGATCTGGGTTGAGGTGCAAACTGGACCTGGGTTAATGTATAAACTGGATTTAACAGCGCAGTGGCCATCGGCGCCGTCATATGGCATTCGATTCCGCTCATCAGATTTCACTTGTTGACGAACAGTTCGCTTCAAATCCAAAGAAAACTTATGTGTCGTAAATCTCGAAAACTCCTATTATGCTGGTCCAAGTTTGACTGGATAGGTCTCAAGCAGAACTGTGTGGCCTGAACCGATCTTTGCCATCCCGAAAGATCGTAAATCGTCGGCGACACACACGGAGCAAACGACAGTGGTAACAGACATACTGTGTATCATTTGCGCAAAGCAAAGCAAAGCAGAATTCCTGCTTGGATTTAAATGATGTTACCATGGTAAACTTAGGGATATGCATGTAATTTACCACGAATCGATGGCGATGCCAAATATTGAAATGCGACGGGGTGATGCTGACGTTTAATTTGACGTTGAAATTGACGGATGCAGGAGGGGCGTTTGATGTTAGGGAAAGTGTTGCATTGCAGTTGGCAGTGCCCCTTTGGGTCACTTTATTATAGTCGTATCCACCTATAGCAAAATTCTAAAGCAGAAGCTATGTAGAAACACTGCATCACAAAATGTTTGATGCAGTGTTAAAATGAGTATAAACCGTAACAACTGCTGCATTTTCCTCCGTGTTCATGCGCCTGGCTTGACGCGTCTGTCTCTGTGACAAATGAACTGCTGCAGCCTGATTTTCATGGTTGTAATCAATGCACCGCATTTGGGGAGGAGCGGCTTTGGTGCTCGTGATGACCAGCTGAGTGAAAAATTAAAGCAAAATAGCGCTCATTCCCTCCTGCTTGAGGAAATGGTCTTCTCACCTAAGGCCGAAGACCTCGAGTGGGAAGATTCGTTCTGAAGGCAAAAAATGAAAAATAAAGTCGGCACATGATGCATTACACTTCTTACACACTGCGTTCATTTACTTTTCAGCCAGCTTGTGGTCGCGTTCTTGCACTTTCCACTTGTGGGAAGGAGCACCTCTCTTTTTTTGCTCTTAAGAATTGCGACGTGTCGCGTGAACAATCGCATTTCTTTACATTTCTCTTGCATGCACATTGAACGCGTCACATAAGACGACAAAATAAGCAATCTCCGAAGCTCGTTCATCCTGACACCCTACGTATTGCAGTATGCTAAAGGTTGCCAAAAAACGGACGGCTGAGCCGCGGGGCCTCCGCTTTTTGCCCGTAATTCGTAGAGTGCAATCAAATGTAATAGCTTAAGCTACGAGCACCAGTGCTTACCCAAGGAGCAATAAACCAGAATGCCTGCCAAGGAACACAATACCACAACCTCAACCTCATTACCTCATTACAAGTAGCCCATGACAAAAATTCACTTACTAGGAACATTATTGTGGTTATCCAAGCTCCCACAAACCTGATTCTATCTCCGTGCGGTGGGCTGCCCGGGACACAAAGGGCAAAGCCGAAAGTTTTATAGCCCGTACCGAGTACAAGGTCAGAAGGTCAACTACTTGAGGATGCTGGTGTTAAGAGCAACGACCAGTGAACTCCTTCTAAACGTGCCTGAAGAGTCATTCATCATCTGTTTGCAAGGGCAGGTTCGAAAATATGGTTTGTGACGTCATCGCATATGCTTATCTGCTTCTAATTTCGTACCGATGCGCCGCACGGCTTATAACTTGTAGAATCGTGTTTTGGTCGTGTGACTAATCCCCACACGTGTTTCCGTCAAATTTGAAGGCGATGCCGTTGATTTCACAAGTTGACTGGAAGACAATGCGGCACCCCCTTCAAATTTTACGAA